CCGGCGATCCCTATGAAGTTGTGGACAAACTTTAGAAATTAATTACACAGAACATAATTCTTTTTTCCTCCCTGCTTGGAATGTTGACATGTAATTATTGTAAGACTTGTTTGTGCTCAAGTCCTCTTTTTTCTGTACAGTTCCATTTTTAAAAGTTATCGAGGGAGTCCAAGTTTTCTATGATTGACACCTAATGCAGCCTATGGGCGTACAAGGATTGCGTAGCTCAGTCGGGGGGTATGCTGTTTGAGCCAAGCGTCATCACAGTGACTCTCAGCGACTCTCCCACGGAATGCATACAATGCTACTGCGCAAGTGGTGGAGTGCGTACAACGCTACTGCACAATGTTGGTTTTATGAAATGAAGAAAATATGCAGAAATACAGAGAGCTTTTTGGCTTAAAATCCATATACTGGCAGAAAGCAGATCCAAGTTGTCCATAGTATATACAGTTTATGGAAAATTTTGCACAAAAAAATTACATAATGTGGCTTTAATGTTGGACCCTTAAGTTGAATGTCTGCTGATGTGTAAATGCCCAGTGCTCACTAATGTTCTCCATGGGTAAGCAAGCTCCATTTTGCAAATTTTGCTCCTGGGCTTGTTGGCGTGTTGGGCGCCACAATGTTTAACTGCTGTTTTCTGATCATTGTTTATTCGCGTGCAACTTTCAGCACAAACAGACAAGATACAAGATGGCTAAACCCTCAGCTACTCAGTCCCAGTGAATGACATGGCGTCAGTCCAAAACATGGAAAAACATGCACAATGATGTAACACACTGAATGTTGGCAATCAAATTCATCTGCAACTCATTTTGTAATTGGTCTTTGCTGAAAAAGTCAACTAATTGTTGTACACTTATTTCCGATAGTGGGCACATTAAAGGGCTTCACTCCTGAGATTAATATGGAGTCAAATTGTGGTCAAAAAGAGAAACTGTCTGCCTTCTTTACCCCGTCCACACCCTGCTCTGCATGTCTTTTCCCCTCACCTACAGTGTCCTCAGTGTTCTCCTCTCTTACAGGCACTATTTTAACGAGGAGCTGTGTTTTCCACGTGTTAAACATTTCAAAGCCGGGGCAGCAAGGCCGATCAAAGCGAGTTTGTGGTCACATGACTCCCCTCTCCTTCTCCCCCGCTCTGTTTGTAGCCTTGAGAGGAAGATGTTTTGGTGAGACCCTTGAGATCTTTCTTCCTCCTTGTTTTCCAGTGGCTGCAGCCTGATCCCACATTGATGAGACAATGCTGATGACACCTACTCGCCCTGCTGCCGTCTTTTGAAAGTAAAGTCCCTGCTTTCCTGAAGAATCTGCCCAGCCGGGGCTCTCTATCCTCATCTTTGAACGTGCAGCAGGTTCCCATTAGGAAGACTTGAGGGGGGGTGAGCTCTTAACTTTATGAGGCTCACTCCTCATCCTATTGTTTTAAATTTCAAGATGAAGATGGGTGCAATTTAGGAGATGCAGAGACGGAACACATGCATGGAAATCCTCGAGCCTGGAGATGTTTGAGCCCTGCCAGGTGGGGGAAAGGGAGCGCACGGGAAGAATTTATTACCCAGGGAGGAATACAGGGAGGATTTCAGCAGAGTGGCTGTTACAGTGCAGGAGGATCTGATCCAGTCCACACTTCATAAATCCTCCACGGAGATGAAGTATTCAAACCACCAAAGTTCCTCTACTTATCTTCCTCTTGAAACATGTGAAAAATACTCTTACAGTGGACTTATGGTGTGTGGGAGAAACCTCCTAATGTTGTCAGTATTAAGATTGATGTATTCACATGCTGCTGTGTAAGATAAACAGTTCATAACCTTTGTATGGATTGTGACATATGGGGGAGTAAATGCTAAGGTTTTAATGAGATGATAAATTCCACTCACAGATCATAACCTTTGTAGGGTGAATAAAGGGCTACTGCTGGCAGCCAGTCAGTTCTGGAAACAGCTCTTCTGGTCCAGATCAGGACTAATAAAATCTGCCTAACCAGCTCCTAGGTCTGTGGGACTCAGCATGACCATTTTTTGTTTGACCTTTAGGCCATCTGCAGTCAGATCCCCTCTCCAAAGCCAGACACGTGCATACAGAAAGATTCTTCAAAATCTGGACCGGTGTTAAAAACATTACAGACCCCACACATGACAGCATGACAGGTTTCTATAGCGTGTGGTGTGCAACGATGTGATAAACACAGCTGATCACGTACATGAAGACTCTTCATCACAATTGAAAATCTTGTAAATCCGGGTCCCAAATGGAAATATCTTGACACTATTGACAGCTGCTTTTTCCTGAGTCTTATAAATTGCCTCACTGAAGTGTTCAGCTTTCACATGTCACTTCGACCCTCCAGAAGAGATTAAAAAAAAAAAGAGGGAAAGTCGGCTTTCCTCTGCTGTTGAATTATGGATCTTCCACAGAGAGAGCCGTTCAAGGACAGGCCATAAATGTCCTCCAAAGAATAACAGGCTTTGAGGAAAACCTAAGTCCTCTCACACAAATACACATTTTAGACAACTTTTCATTTTTCTCAGTCTGGCTGAGGTTATTCACATCCCCTCCCACTGCAGTAATCACTATCAATGAGATATTGAGGAATAGACTCCAGATGTTGGAGTCCCAGCCTTTCTTTTGTGTTTGATTCACATGCACTGGGTGTTATTTTGCAACCTCTCATTGTCATCCCTGTCTTCACCTCCTCCCCTCTGGGACCCTGGAGCTCCTGCTTAGTCACAGAAGATCAGCTGATATGGCTCGAGCTGGATCGATAACACATGGAATGAGGAATTCACTAGAAATTAGATACTGTTATGAAATCAACACATAGTCCTTTTACAGCCCAAACACTCTCAGCTGCAGAGGACAGTGTAAACTCTGTCTTTATTTGCTGCTCATTTACCAGCTGTCAGTTTCTGTGAACTGAGACTTTTCAGTTTCTCTGAGAGCTGTGTTCTGGTCAACAGGCCTCACAGGATGTTATTGAGAAACAGCACCATGCTGTCAGTTTCTCTGTCTGACATCGTAAAATAATCAAGCGCAATGAGTTCACTGACTGCTCCGTCTGAGTTTAGTAGCTCATCACCAAGAGAGTCATTGACAGCTACTTTCAGCTGGATCTCATGGAGCGTCCAAATGAGTTACATGAGTTGTCTGGCTCTTTATGAGGTTCAGAGGTTGTAAAATAATGAGAAAACAGGACATTTCCTCTATACAACCTTAGATATTGATGATATTTTTCTAAGAGTCCAGTTTAAGACATCAGAGTGCATCTACTTACATATTATGCACCTTTAAACAGAGTCACAGGAGTCATTATGTATCAGTCTTAATGGATGCTAGTCCTCTTCTCCTCAGGTTGTTGTGGGCACAGAACCTTCTGACAGACATTTCAGAGCTCCTCGACACTCCTGCCTCCTGCTGCGCAGCAGAAATCTCTGCACAAGTTTTGCCATCCTGAAAAAAGTGCCGTATGAGCTCTAAACAATTTTTGAGTCCAGCCATAATGCAAAAGCCTGTTTCTTGTTCACTTCCAGGTCACAAAACTTTCTACTGACAAAAAAGTGTAAATCAGATAAAACGAAAGTTAAGTATGTAACTACGGTTCTATGAATCCCGAATGACAGTCAGAGGCGGTGCCTTAAGCACTTAATATTCCCCTCGTGCGTGCGTAGTTCGAGTGTTTATACCAAAATGTCACCTGTGACGCCTGTATGACCCGGTAGAAGTCTATATCTGTAGGAGTCACCACGGAATCAGTCCCTACAGAACTTTCTCGCGAAACAAGAGGATTCTGAGTGACCCAGTGCTCTGGCAGTCATTCAGGATTCATAGAACCGTAGTTACATACGTAACTTTCATTCTATTTCATCCCTCCTGACCGCCAGAGGCGGTGCTTTAAGCACTGAATGACTTATGCCAACATAGTCAGAATCCTGATTACAAACCTTAACAGGTAGAATCAGACTCCGGGCACAGGACCAACCCCGTTGGATGGGGAGTGGCAACGTTCACCCTATAAAATCTAACAAATGTGCTTGCTGATGCCCATGAAGCAGCGGCACAAATATCCCCCAGGGGCACGCCCTTCAGAGCAGCCCATGATGTGGCAACACTCCTGGTGGAGTCACACCATATGCCCGCTGGTACAGGCTGGTTGTTGGCATCATAAGCCTGGCTAATAGTATCTACTATCCAGTGAGACAGGTGCTGTTTTGAGAGCACGTGACCCTTATTAGGGCCCCAGTGGCTCAGGAATAGCTGCTCAGAACGCCGAATGCTTTTAGTAGCCCTGATATAGGCCCTCAAGAGCCCTCACTGGGCAGAGCAACTCCATACTGCCTGTCTCTCCTGGTGGAGCAGTAAATTGAGCCAACTTTATAGGCTGGTGAGGTGCGACGCAGACAACACCTTGGGGAGGAAAGCAATGTTTGGCCACAAAGTGACCCCTGACTCGTCTGAGTTCCACCTCAGACACAAGTCACTCACTGACAAGGCGTGAAGCTCACCAACGCGCCTGGCCAACGAAATGGCCAGAAGGAAGGCTGCTTTTCATGACAGCCTCTTAAGCTCCGCCCATGCTAAAGGCTCATAGGGAGGCCCGCATAGGGAATCGAGCACATTATTAAGGGCCCACGCTGGCACCCTCGGGGCTCTTGGTGGATGCAACCTCCAAGCCCCACTGCAGAATTGGGACACCAGACTATGACTCCACACTGTGGCATTATCAACCATTAACCGATCGACCCTGGGTTTCCGCTGCCACACATCTGGTGAACACCCTTGGCAGTTCAGGGTGCTTCCTTTCGGCCTCTCCCTCTCCCCAATGCCTTCCGCGATACGCAAATCGCAGGAACCAGTGGTGTTGATGGGCAATGGGGACATGGTAGTAGGCATCCTTTAGATCCACAGACGTGAACCACTACCCAGGTGCCACAGACTGTAGTGCGTCTGACGTCGTTATGGTATCACTTTTAAATATCTGTTCAGTCCCCTGAGGTCTAGAACGGGGCGGAATCCGCGGTCTTCTTTGTGATTATAAAATAAGTTAAATGGAACCCCCCGATTTGAGACAGGGGGTCCACGGGCTCGATGGCGCCCTTGGACAGGAGGGAGGATAACTCCTGGTCCAGTATGGTGGCTTTTGCCGGGTTGCCGATGAGTGTTGTTTTGACCCGGCCGGTTGCAGGGGGTCGGGGTGGAAACAACCCACGGGTCCGAAGCTTGAACAGCCCAGTACTTGAGCTGTTGATGGAAAAAATATCTGACGACCGGCCCCATGGCTTCAGTACTTGGGCCCTCAGCCCTTCGGGGGCCTAGAGGGGGGGCGTCCAGGGTTTGGGGAATAAAATTGCCTGGAGGGCCCAGGAGGCATGGAGTCGGGAACCCAAGGGTCACGGGTCTGACCCTGCACAGGGCGCTGGCTGCCGGAGTATGCTGGTGGTGGCATGCTAGGTGGCATGCTAGGTGGCATGGGGGGGGGGGGCTGTTCGGGGGAGGCATGCATTGCAGGCCCGCAAGCTGCTGCCTTGTCGGCCCGCCTGCATTGTCCTCTCCAGCACCTCCTGAGCAGCTGGGCCAAATATGGTTCCTGGCTCCACTGGGAGAGCACGCAGGGTTCTTCTAGTCTTCTCTGTCAGGGGTGACTGCGACAGCCAGACCTGGCATCGAGCCTGGACAAGGTACGACATCATTCGTCCGAGCTCCTGGGACATGTGGCCAAAGGCCTCCAAGGCCACATTGCAGAAGTTATTGCTGCTTTGCCTCCTGGACCTGCACCGTCCCCATGCAGGGAAGCTGAGAGGGCCAGAGAAAAGAAAAGGGACTGACTCCCTGGTGACTCCCACGGATATAGACTTCTACCCGGTCATACGGGGGTCACAGGTGACTATTTTGGTATAAACACTCGAACTACGCATGCGCGAGGGGAATGTTCAGTGCTTAAGCAGGAGGGATGAAATAGAACTATCATTATCCATTTATCTCATTTTCATTTGAGCTGAAGACATTGGAAAACAAGCCGCTATCTGTTTTTTCATTTTCGTTTCAGAGACGAATATTAGAAAACTATTTATTTTCTCGTTTTTTCACTTTTAGTTTTATTTAGACAATCAAGTGAATTAATGATACAGTGCTGGCTTGTTGATATGAAGATATAACATTACCAAGGAAATCTGTCAACTTTCGCTTTATATACTTATCAACGGCTGAGTTATCTAATCTGTTTGTTGTAGGTTTACTGTTATGAATGTGACATAACTGTAGGCTAAAAATACAAGTCACAATAATACAACTAACTTCGTTTCACCAGTGGCATATTGTATTATAGAAATGCAAATATATATGTTACCTCATCACTACGCATCCTGCAGATAGCCAATAATAATAATAATAATAATAATTCAAAGTTCTGTCTTGTTTCATTCACTGCCAAAACAACTCCAAGCCAGACTAAAGACCTTTTATGTGTCTTCACTTGCTCACAGTCATCATTCCAGCAAAATACCGCCAAACGCAACAGAAAATAAAAACTCTGTTCAGCTACTTTAAGGTCTCTTTTATTTCATCAACATTGATGCTTTAGTAGATCGTGAATATTACACTGTTACTCCTCATTTAGTGTATGACAGTCTTGTAAGATGTCCAGTAGACTTGTCTCTGAAAATCAGGGTAAATGATTGATTATCCAGCACCAGAATGTAAAATGTTGCCCAGAAAAAGATCACACATCAGCTTTGAGGAACTGCAAACTGCAGTCACTGTCCAAAACTTCTTTCTACAGTCTGCCTTGAATGAAATACACCTCTGTACAGTGAGCACATGATGTATCACTTTTGCTGACTCATTCATCTACAGAAATCTGTACCAATCCACACTGAATATTTACACTTAAATTACTCCAAAACCCACCCGCGTGAAATCCACCACGTCTGAAATGTGGGCTGTCTGCATCCAGCGTCCTGTCGATAAGCACAGAACGAGCGTTGTGAGATGTGAAAACCTGCTTTGCAATCTTGACTGGAAATAGATGTTTATTTAAAACAGCCGCTGAAGGTTAGCAAAATACTCTCCATGAGCTGCAAAGAGAGGAGCTTGTGCATATGATTCAGTGTGTGAGAAAGGATTTACCTGCCTGACATTCAGCCTGCGGAAGACAGATGTGATAGTGTGTGAAGGAGGTTACTGAATAACATCTCACAGACATCACCCCCTGGTCTGGGATCCTTCTGAATAACAAGGTGTTCATAGACATACCTGTGCACATTAAATAACTCTAATGTAGTCAAAATTTGCTTGCAGGAAATAAAAAGCCTCCTAAAATTACAAATCACTTCTCTTAAAGGGAAAACAAAATGTGTCCTGTGAGGAAGATGTCATCAGCGTATAGAGTAAGCCAATAAAAAAGGACCCACAGGTACTGCATTAATTTTCATTTTGCAAACCACCTAAACTCCAGCTCCTCCTTTTTATGCTGTGTCCGTTTTCAACACTGTCACACATATTATTACCAATGCCTGCTCTGTTCTGCCTTATGAGCAGAGACAGATTTTTTTTTGACTGAGGTGGCCATTTTGGGGCACAGGAGTGGACAGGTGTCATATAGAGGATTACCCCAAACACAGGGTTACAGTTTTCTCGACTCACATAACGTTACACCAAAACTTAATAGAGTGGTAATAAATCTGCAGAATGTTTTACAGTGAAATAGAAAGATAGTACTTGCAACTTGTTAAAAACAACCAAGATACCTTAATTTTAATGGTTCCTGGCCCACTGAAAAGTTCCTACAGTAAAATTTGTTAGGGTAAAAGCCCAGTTTAAATTACCAGGTACCTGGCCTTACACAAGAAGTGAGGATATTTGGCTTGTGTCTTCACTCAATTACAGACAACAATACTTCCTTTTTTGAAAGGTTGAAACTGGGAGTCAGAAGTGAGAGCTGGAAGTCAGCATGAGATAAAACAGAGGATCCAGGCAGGAAAATGATAAATACAGAGAGGGCTGAAACACAAGAGGTTTCTTCAGCCAGAAAAGCATGTTTGACTTCACATTGAGCGTCTTTACAGCTGATAAATCAATCAGGCTCTCTCACACTTATCATTAAACATCACTGCTGTTTCTCTGTCCAGGTACAGTGAGTGTGCAGCTTTTCTTTCTCATCCAACCAAAGTAAACACAACCTCCCAGTCTTCAGGTTCCTCTGGCTTCATAACATCGACCCAGTGCCCACATCCAGTGATAGTTCCTGTGCTTTCTGCCAAGACTGGACACCCAGGGATGTGTATCTGTACACAGTGTAAATCCAGACCTCCTGCTTTGGGTCTGAAAACCCCTCTGCGTCCACTCCACCTTCAAATTTTTAAATTCATCCCCTCTCCAGAACTGTATCAGAACCTCTCTGTGGAGACCTGCAGGAGGAGTCCATGACTGGGCCTGTGGGAGGTCTTTCTGGGTGTTGGATCAGGACTTGAATAGGAACAGATGAATTGAATTTCCATATGGATATGTGAGGTTTGACCTGCTTCCTGCGAGCGGACTTGCAGAAGTTCTCTTCACCGTTTTTTAAGCCTCACATCAGGTCGCGCTGCAGTAAACAAGTCTGCCAGCACATGCACATTGATTCAGCTAGATTTTCACTCATCATTTGTGATACCGTATCTCTCATATGAAAGCAGCTCTCATGGTTTTTCATTGGCTGAGATACAGTTCACTCTCTATTCTTTGGCCATAATTCTATCATCCTTTCTCCTTTCATTTCCTGTCTTCAGAAATACTTCATTCAAGGATAGCTGTAATTTATCTTGGCTTCTGTTTTATAGCTTAACAGATCTGTGTTTACAGCCAAGTGCATCCCTGAAACTACTGAGCAGTTTCCCAGTCAGGAAAATCGATAAAAGATGACAATATTATGACGCTGGGCAAAGCAACCGATTCATCTTGCAGCCTGAGCAAAGATCAACTCACGTGTTGCGGTTTCCTAAAAATTGATTTTTTTTAAAATAGATAGTTCATTCCAGGTTATTTGAATTGAAGGCAAAATCCTAGAAGAATTCTGGGAAAGACTTACAACATTATAAAAAGATCTATCACTCATTTTAATAAATTATAGAAAATATTTCAGTCCAAGCCTGTTGAAGCCGCATCATTATTACTGTGACCAGAACTGAGTCACTGAAACATGCACCTATCCAAGGCCAAGCTTTTATGAACTGTAGATATTGTTGGAAACCTTTTCTTTTTTTTTTTTTTTTGTTTGCCAATGCATTCTGGGAAATCTTGCAGTCTAAACACAGCACACAGATCCCGGAAAGGTCTGGAATGATATTTTTCAAAACTTCATCTCTCAAGGATGCATTCTCTTCATGGTTTAGGGCAGTTAGTCCTAAATCTGTCGTCACTGCAGGTGTAAGTGTATATATATATATATATATATATATATAGATATAGATAGATAGATATAGATAGATATAAATATAAAAGAAGCCTTAAATAAAAATCCTGATTAAAAGTAAAGAAATGACAGAAGATCTGTGTTTTTCCAGCTGAAAAAAAAAACAAAACCAAGAGAGCTTTGATTCCTTCCAGGCCTTGTGTTTTTCCAGTTGAGATGCTTTTGTTCACATCGGAGATAATCGATAAAAACAGATATTATAAAAACAAGTGTGCAGCCTTTAATTGATACGTTTCCTATACCAAACAGACAAATGTGTAAGAATTGAAAAATTTCACTGTTGCTATCGGCACTTTCAACATGCTGACTAGCGTCCTTTCACTGTCCGACTGTTCTAATTCAAATTTTTATATTTTCACTTACAAAAAAAGGTCACAGGACTTAATAGTTGAGAAAACATTTTGATGAATATCATCTTTTGGTCTTGCATTATAAAGGTACTCCAGGCACACAGGACCTCCAAGGCCTGTCAGTATTTTAATCACACATATTATGTATTAATGTTGGATGTTCCTGTAATTCCTGGATGTTTGCAGCTTTTTAGAGCTATTTGTTTCGATAACTAAGATGAAGCCAGAATCTGACTTCAGCCTCAAGCCATAACCTCCAGTCTTTAAAGCAAGCAGATGCAAAAATGCTAGAACCTGCAGTCCCCCGAGTGTTGAAGACACTCATGTGTCCTTTTTATGTTGCATTCATTTCAAGGTTATTTAGGTAACAATATCGGCTTATCAAAACCACAGCTGCTTTGGTTGACAGGCAAGTGAACCATGACTTTTTGCAAGGAGTCTAACAGCCCATCTCTGACAGATTGAGCCAAAGCACTTCCAATATGGTGACCACAGCCAATAGGCTTCATGTCTCATGTCTCATAAACAGCTGGCCACATCCTGTTTTAGTTTTTGACTAAGAATAGCCTTTTAAATAAAGGTAATACTCTTTCATCAGTAAGTTATCAATAGCTTGATAGACGATTCACAGGACCATAACAGTTCCTCCACCCACTGGGCTGTGGAAGCTAT